AAACAAAACCAAAAACTATCACCACCAGCAACAAAAACCAAACCAAACAAACTCCCCCCCACCCCCCTAAACAAAACAAAACAAAAGAAACAAGAAGGAAAAACATTGTCAATTATACTCCTGGGGTATAAGGCAATTGCATTGGTAACATCAATAATTTTTTCAATAGCATAGAATTTAAGGTGATGTTGATATGAAGATTTTATGCAAGTATTGTCCAACTGGGAGCTGCAGTCCATGAGTTGTGACTTTGTGCAGATTGATTTTTTAATTGATTTAGCTCAGTTTACATTGAGCACGGGGGTTAGTTCTAGGGGAAAATTCCATGTGCCACTTCTCACAAGGGCAGATCCTGGCGTATCAGATTAATACCTGTCATATTAATGGAGGGGGAGCATTGCGGTACTAGATGTATGGTGGTTCTGGACCTCCTTCATTGGACACCTACTAAGCCAGGGGTCACACCCACGTTCCAATGACCAACATTCTGCAGTCTTGGTGTGGCCACTTTTGCTTACTGCTCATCAGGGTAATTCAGTCCTAAGTTCAAGAGTACAGGGACTTTGAGGTAGGGCCCAGTTTGTTCATTCGGGCTCCCACATCGGGTCCATCTGGTGTGTCCCTTGAGGGATGCCATGTTGACTGTAAGGTCAGTGTCTACAGTCATCATAGTGTTAAGTACATGGTGTGGTTCACAAGGGTTGGGTAGAAATGTATTGGATGTGTCTACCTGGGAACATCGAATCAGGCTTATTTTCCCCTTAGGTTCCCTGCAATTATTATTTAGTATGCCTTCCCGTTGTGAGGTTGCTTCTCCCCATTACCCACCATACTCACCAACAGAAATATCAGTGCCTTCTCTGAAATATAGATGCTCCCCTCCCCTGGTCTTAACTTGATTTTCCAGTAAAATTTCTCCTCTCATTCCTGTTGAGTGACTTGATTTTTCATGACCTTATGTCACTGTTGTATGACATCAAATGGGTGGTTTTCTTCCTTCTCCCCACTTCTTGAAGAAGTGACCCCAGTTGATGTGAGGCCTCTTCTTTCTAGGTAGTTCTTAAAATGTGCATATAAGGGGGGTGATTTATGGTTCATGGACAGTAGGCAGGTTCTCTGCCCCTTTGTTTGGGTATTGGCCTCTAATATTTAATTGGTATTTCTCCTTATAGTCATGGACTTTTGTGCTTGACTACCATCACTCAGCATAATGGTTTCCAGTCCTGCCATGTCATGTGGTGTTTCATGTTTCATCGTTCTTTTTCGGGGGTGCCTAGTATTCCATTGTGTGTATGGACCAGGTTCTTTATCTGTTCGTACACTGCTGGGCACTTGGGCTAGTTCCAATTTCTTGCTACTGTAAATTGTGCTGCTATAAATATGGGAGAGCATACACCCACCGGTGTTGTGTCTCTTATTTCTTTGAGGCATATACCTAATAATGGTGTTGGTAGGTCAATTGGTAGGATTTCAATTCCCAGTTGCTTTAAGTATCACCATGTTGTTTTCCATAGTGGCTGTATGTATTAACAATTTCACCAAAAGTGTATATGAGTTCCCTTTTCTCTCCAGCCTCTCCAGCATTTGTTGTTTTCTGTTTCGTTTTGTAGAAGGGCCTCACTATTGAATACAGGTGGGATCCCAGAGATGATATGAGACTCTCTTCTCTTACACGATTACTGTGCTATTGTCAGACTGTGGCTGTGAAATAGTGTCTGTTGGAAAACCCAAATGCACACCTAAATCAACTTTTGTGCAAATGACTTGCTATAGTTTTCCTTACGATGTATTGTCAGGTTAAAAAACAGATGGAGAATATAGTCCAGTGAATTTTTTAAAGGTCATAATCTGATTAATCCGAGGAACAAGGGGAAATTTTCCACCAAAATAACAAAACAGCAAAAGCAATCTTTGCAGGTTTTGATTAATTTATATATGAAAGAAGAAGCTAGGGATCAGGGCAACTGTTTGAATACATATTTTTAGGAATCAAAGCAAATAAAAACATGCCACATATAGTCTGTGGGTGGTACGAATGGTTTAGTGCTTAGCTACTAAGTGAAAAGTTGATGATTTGAGTTCACCTGGTTACAGCCTGGTGGTATAAGTGTTTTATATTGGGCTGCTAACTGCAAGGTCAGCAGTTCAAAACCACCAGTCACCCTTTGGGAGAAAGATAGGGCTTTCTACTTCTGTAAAGAGTTATCCTCTCAGAAACTCACAGGAGCAATTCTGCCCTGTCCTATAAGGTCACTAACAGTTGGTATCGACTTGATGGCAGTGATTTGGTTTTTTTTTGTTTTTGAGACAGTGAAAAAGAGGAAGACCCTGTTCAATATAGACTGACATGAATCTGCAACCATGGGCTCACACAATAATTTGAGGCTGGGGCAGGCCTGTGCAGGGTTTTGCTCTGTTGTGCAGAGGTTGCTGTGAGTTGGAACTGACTTGGCATCCAGCAGCAATAATAGACACAATTTGTGGGTCTTTGAGGGGACTTGCATTGCACTGCTACCTGAAAACTCAGCAATTCAAATACAGCAGCCCGAGGAAACCCTACAGGGCCTCTAGGCGTGGGATTCAACTGGAGGACAGTGGGTTGTGGATTTTGTTAGAGGCACTTTTGAAGAAAGGCCTGGTTGTCTGCTTCTGAAGATTCACAGCCTTGAAAGTTCAACGGAACAGTGGTACTCTAACAGAAATAGGACCGCTATGGGTTGGGATTGACTCATTTCAATTTTAAAAAATGCCACGCACTAGCAATGTGCCGAGATGGAAATCCAAAATGTGAGGATGTAAGAGAAAAGATGAGCATGATAAGAGCAGCCTCTTTTAAGTGGAACAGAACTTTTTATGATTTTTAAGTACAAAGGAAGCATTTCTGTGCCTAATAACTAAACTTTACATGCAAGATACAAAATGGTGTCTCAAACTTATTGGGGGCCAAAGTCTTTCAATTCATAAAAAAAAAAAAAGAAATTTTTAATGTTTTCTTGAAAGACTCAAGGCAAAAGGGAGTTGACTAATTATATATCCTAAAAGGGGTCATTTTGATAAATATATTATATGTAGATATACTTGTACACTGAATAGCTATTTATACCAATAAATGTATTTTTGCTTTTTGCTGGTTATGGGATGCATTTAGATAGCTTAGGCTTTTAGATTTGTTTTATTTTTTTAAATGCAGAGAAAGTACATGCCCTTCAATCTATGCCCTTCCTGGATTCAAGAGGAAATTTCATGTAACAGTGCAAATATTACTTCAAGACTGAACTTAGACTTTGGGTCAAATATATCCATGGAGACTCTATGCCTTATTTTTTATTAAAAATAGTCTCAGAATTGGAGTATTTCTATTATTGAAGCAGGCACCATTTAAATTAAATTTCTACATATAATATATTCAGGACTCCAAACTCTAAACCCACAGCCCTTGAATCAATTACAACTCATAGTGATCAGCTAGGACAGGCTAGAACTGTCTCTGTGGATTGCTGAGACAACATATAACTCTTTGTGAGAGTAGCAAGCCTCATCTTCCTCTCAAGGTGGTTTGGAATGCTGACCTTGAGGTTGGCAGCCTAACATGCAACTGCTACACCACGAGGGCTCCTAGTGATGCCATAGAACAGAGTAAACTTGCCCCTGTGGGCTTTTGAGGCTGTAAATCTATGGAGCAGAAAAACTCATCTGTCTCTCTTGGGGTGGCTATTCACAGCTGAACCCTATTACCTTCATTTTTTTTTTTTAATTTTTATTTATTTATTTTATTTTATTTTTTTCTTTTTTAACATTTTATTAGGGGCTCATACAACTGTTATCCCAATCCATACACACATCAATTGTGTAAAGCGCATCTGTACATCGTTTCTCAAAACATTTTCTCTCCATTTAAACCCCCGACATTAGGTCCTCATTTTTCCCCTCCCTCCCCGCTCCCCCCTCCCTCATGAGCCCTTGATAGTTTATAAATGGGTATTTTGTCATATCTTGCCCTGTCCGACGTCTCCATTCATCCACTTTTCGGTTGTCTGTCCCCCAGGGAGGAGGTCACACACAGTTCCATGTAATCGGTTCCCTCTTTCCTACCCATTCTCCCTTTACCCTCCCTGTTTTGCCACTCACACCACTGGTCCTATAGGGCTCATCTGTCCTGGATTCCCTGTATTTTCAGTTCCTATCTGTACCTACCTTCATATTTTTAATATCCAAAGTAGTTAATGAATTCCAAAGAATACTCTCCCCCTAATTTATTTGTATTTGGTTAAAAAAAATCTTAATGAATTGTGCATTGCTTTGTGAGATGAAAATTCTTTTGTCCTGGAAGCTTGTAGTATTTTTGATACAGTTGATAGAGTATCGTTCTCTTAATTCGTGCATACATTTAAGGGGAATAATTAAACCTGTTTTGTACTTTCCTTAAGAGTAATATTGTGAGGGTTAAGATGATATTCGCTAGGTATTGGATGCTCCTCAGAGAAAAGTTTACATAAATGTCAAGGTTTTTTTTTTTAAACAAATTATTCCATGGTGAGGCGTATTTATACAGTGCCTTCAGGTATCACCTTGTACTTGAATTGCCTGCTTCCTAAGATAGAAATTAAGAACCATCATTTATCATTTTATTTCTTGTTTATAGTGGAGCCTAAGTTAGACATAGAGAGAATATAATGGCTTAAAGAAAGTAGTTTTACACTTGAAATAAGTAATATAAATGTTAGTTTCACCATTGCGGAAACATTGAATTAGATCTAGGATGGTCATTAGATTTTCAGGTAAATCTTGTTGAATCTGAGAGATATACATTCTTCATGAATTTTTCATTCTGATTTGTAAACATAAGTAGATTTTTCCCCTTTTCTTGGTGTTTGTGCATATGTGTTATGAGAGTGGGGGAATCTGTTATATGGTAATACAGTGTATGGAATGGTATAAGCTATTGATGTTGAGGCTTTTACTGTCTAACCAAAACAAAAGAAATTGTGTTTGTTTTCTAGGGACACAATCAGATCATAACATATAGCCGGCCAATCTATTTTTGTATGCTGTGTGGTCTTATTTTGCTCCTTGACATAGGGGCCAAAGCCAGGCATCCTCCCACTTATGTTGTCTATGGCCTGAAGATCTTCTCTCCAGGGTCCCTGCAATCAGCTCGGGACCACTTAATGGGTGAGTTACTTTGAGGTCCTGGGGAAGGCATGTGGGTGGGTGTGGGTTGGAGGCAAGGTCCTGTCTTCCCTTTATGTTCTCGAATCCTGGTTGGAGAAACCTCCTTACTGTCTTATTAGATAAAAAAATTCATATCCCCTTCTTGGCTTACACACCACTAGAGACATTTGGGAGCCCAAGCACAAAGGCACCCAACAATGGAATTATTCTAGAGGATTTTAATACCCAGTGTCCAAAAGTTGTAGCACTGTAACGCCTGAAGCATAGTTGCTGTGGAGCCTGATGAGTGGTGTTGGTGGGATTAGACTTGTCATCAGTGGGCGGAGCCAGTGGGCTGTGCACAGCACAGGTGATCTGGTAGCACATGGGTTGTCAAGGTTTTCCTCTCGGTTCAGTCTTTGGTATTCTGGTCACTTCATCTTTTGCTGGCACACTTTGCTTGCCCTCATTTCTCCTATCACTTACCTGCTGTAGAATGTTCAATTTTAGCAAATTGCCTGTGTCTTGTAATGGCTTACAGC